TCAACCCTCTCTTCCGACGAGGGGTGGTGGAAGAGAAGCCCGAGACACAGATGCTCAGGCTGTTCGAGGGAAGTCCACGGCCAAGTTGCTCCCAGCTCTATTACGTCCGACGATATGAGAGGATAAAATCTGGGAGTGGGCGATTGCAGAAAAATGGTTGGGAAGGGTGGTCTTTTTTTTTGTAAATTTGATATCTTGTAGGGGCCTAATTGTAAATTAATAGATTTTAAATATATTACAATTAAATGCATGGACTAAATTTATAATTTATAGTAAATATATAAAAATATTATTTTATATACATATAAACATATTTTTTTATAGATACATATATTATATTTGTTTCAACATAAATATTATAAAAATATTGAATTATTTTATAATAAAAAATAATAAATTAGATTAATTATCTAAGTTAATTCAATTGTCAAATCGAATAATTTAATGATTTCGGTTCGACTTAAGTTGGAATCGCGTATAAATAAATAAATAAACTTACACTATAGACTGCACAATATAACATAAAACATGATGCACATTAGTGAATGTCAAACTGCACAATACTGTTAGACCAAATGCATATTAACACAATAAGGTGCATTTTCACAAATATTTAAAATTTTGAGTATTTTTATCTGGTTTCAGTGTTAATAAAAACCAAAATAACAAATAACAGAATCAAATAAAATATATAAAAGTTATTATTTTTATATTTTATATATATTATTTATTTTCAACAAATAATACTATAAAATATTAAATAATAAATTATAAATATTAAATGATTTCCATAAGAAAAAAATCATAGTTGCACTTCAAGTGCACATTAATGTTACATGAATTGCACATTATTGACTACCAGATTGCATTGTAGCGATTGAAACAGTCAGGCGAACTTTTTTGTTTGAGTTTTATGTTTTGGTTCGATTATATGTTTTTACTTTTAGATTTTTTGGTATCTCATATATATGACATCTTTATTGATCAAAATAACCAAAATCGACCGATTCATATAAAAATATTATTTTGTTATATATACATATTTTAGGTATTCACAATTACAAAATAATACAAAATATTAAATAAAAAAATAATGTACTAAATATATTTTTATTATATAAATTATAAACTTTTAGCTTATTTATGTTAGTTCGGTTAACTTATCAAATACACCAATTATTTCTGTTTTATTTTGGTTTTGGGTAATATTAAAAAATTAACATTTGAGTGCACATTTGTGTTGGATAGATTGCACACTGGTGATTGGCATATTGCACTGTACGATGCTATTTTTAAAATAGTCAAAATAAGACCAAATTGAATAAAAATTTTATTTTCTTATATTTTTATATAAAGTAATATTCTTACAACCAAAAAAAATATAATACACCGATTAAATAAACTAATCTTGTTCGGTTTTAGATTGGGTTGAGACAAAAAGGTTGATTTGTTCATATGTGCAATAGCGACTGGCATTGCACAATATTATTACACGACTTGCACAATAACGTGTGATAGGTTGCACATTATTGGACAATATTATTTATCATTATTGTACAACATTGATTTGTATACTATTAACTTTTATTAATTTTTATATAAGTCCCTCATTCTTATCTAATTTACAAAAGTCAAGCCCCCCAAATTCCAACCCTTATCTAATTTACACAACTCCAGCCCCTAAATTCCATCTCCTCCAAGACCTCACCCTCTCGTCATTCACGTACACCCG